TTTCCTATCTCCACTGAATTGCCTTAGTTATTTTGACAAAAATCAATTCACCATCCATGTATGGGTCCATTTCTTGACTCTATTCTATTCCAATGATCTATGGAACAAATCTGTGAAATTGATTTTCCAAAATTTCAAACTTTCTTGCTTACAGTAGCTTTGTAAATATTAAAATCAGATAGGGTAAAATCCTCCAACTTTGTTATATTCTAAAATTCTTGTTTTCTAAAATTGCTTTGTTTACTCTAACAGCAGTTCTCAACCTGTGGGTCGCAACCCCTTTGGGGGTCAAACAACCCTTTCACAGGGATTGCCTAAGACCATCGGAAAACAAAAAGATATTTACATTACGATTTATAACAGTAGCAAAATTACAGTTATAGAGTAGCAACGAAAATAATTTTATGATTGGGGGTCACCACAACATGAAAAACTGTATTAAGGGGTTGCGGCATTAGGAAGGTTGAGAACTGCTGCTCTAGAAGCTTTAAAAAAAAAATCAGCAGCTGTATTTTTCAGTTTTACAATTTCCATTTTAAATTTCAGCTTTATTCATGTAAAATTGACATATAAAAGTATAAGATATTTAAAGGGTATTTAAACCATGGTTATTTGATATACATATACATTGAGAAAGGATTCCCCCCATTGAGTTGATTAATACATGCATCACCTTACATATTTATTTTTTTGGGGGGTTGAATTCTACAATTTCAGCAAATTTCAGTTATTCAAGACAGTGTTATCAACTATAGTTACTATGTTTTATATTAGCTTCTAAGAACTTATTCATCTTCTAGCTAAAAGTTTGCACTCTTTTACCAACCTCTTCCTATTTCACTCAACCCCCAGCCCCTGACAACCACCTTTCTACTCTCTGTTTCTGACTTAAAGTTTGACATTTTTTTAGATTCCACATGTAAGTGATACCATGCATTATTGTCTTTTTTTTTTCAGTGGTTTATTTTTTTTATTGTGAAATAAACATTTTAAAAATTAGTTTCAGCTGTACAACACAGTGCAATAGTTACACTTTTTACCCCTCAAAGTGACAACCCCCTCCCCTAATCCGCCGCCCCACACCCCCCCATATCATACATATCTATTACAATTCCCTTGACTCCACTCCCCACACTATACTCCACATCCCGTGACTATATATATATTCACTTATAGTTGACATACAATATTATACAACATCAGCTTCAGGTGTGCAGTGCAGGGATCAAGCCTCTTCCCCATCCCTGAAGTGATCTCCCTAACAAGATATGTGACCATCTGACACTCTATAAAATATTTACAACATTATTAATTATATTCCCTAAACTGTCTTTCATATCCCTGTGGCAATATTGTAGTTACCTATTTATGCTGTCTAATCCCTTCCCTTTCTCCCTCATCCCCACCCCCCCTCCCAACTAGCAACCATTGTCTTTCTTTGTCTGGTTCATTTCATTTAGCACAATACCCTGAATGAAGGTCCATCCATGTTGTTGAAAATGGTCCCATTTCCTTCTTTCCCGTGGCTGAGTAATATTCTGCATCTTCTTTATCCCTTCATCCATTGAGGGACACTTAGATTGTTTTGTATCTTGGCTATTGTGAATAAAGCTATGACAAACATGGGAGTGCAGGTATCTCTTGGAGATCTTGGTTGGCTTTTTTTTTCTTTCGGTACTTTAAAGATATCATGGCACTCCCTTGTGTCCTTCAAAGTTTCTATTGAAAATCTGCTGATGTTCCTATTGGGGTTCCCTTTTACATTACAAGTTACTTTTCTTTTGCTGCTTTCAAGATTTTTCTCCTTTTGACAATTTAATTATAATGTGTCTTCGTGTGGATCTCTTTGAGTTCATCTTTTTATTTTATTTTATTTTTTTATTAAATTTTCTGGGCTTCCTGGATCTGGATATCTGTTTCCTTCCCCAGTTAGGGGAATTTTTAGCCATTACTTCTTTGAATAAGTTTCTGTCCCTTTCTCTCTCTTCTTCTTTTCCTGGGGTTCCTATAATGCAAATATTGGCCCACTTTTGGTATTCCATGGATCCCTTAAGCTATCTTCACTTTTATTATTATTATTATTATTATTATTATTATTATTATTATTATTATATCATTCTTTTTTTTCCTCTGATTGTATGAATTCCACTGTCCTGTATTCAGGTTTGCTGATCTTTTCATCTACTTTTTCTAGACTGCTGTTGAACCCCTCTACTGAAATTTTCAGTTCAATTATTGTATTCTCCAGCTCTGTGATTTTTGTTTGGTACTTTCTTATATTTTCTATCTCTGTTGAAATTCTCACTTTGTTCATGCATGCTGACCTTGGTGAACATGTTTATGACCATTTTTAAAAACTCTTTATCAGATAAATTACTTATCTTTATTTCATTAAGGTCTGTTTCTGGTGTTTTATAAATTTTTTTTCTTTTGTTTGGAACATAGTCCTTTGTTTCTTTATTTCTTTTAGCTCTTTTTGTTGCTTTCTGGTATTAGATAGAACAGCCAACTCTCCCAGTTTTGATGGCATGGTCTTGTGTAGGAGATGAACTTTGTTATTCAGTCCAGTCTGAGCTCTTGGTTGTCTCCCAAACCTTTTGATTGTCTCAGCTCAGCTTCCTTCTTTGTTTTATTGGCTCCCAGTAGTTGACAGTGAGCTAAGTCCTGTCAGTGTCCCAATGAGGAGGATATCACTCAGCACTTAGATACAGTTTTTGAAGTATGAAAATATACCTCTTTCAAGGGAATACTGGAAGATGAGTGTTTCTGTTTGCTCCGTTTGCACTTAGCCCTGGGTGGATTGGCAGTTAAGAAATGTTTCTTTCTTTGTTACAAACCTGTGGGAGCAGTGAGCACAAGCTCTGCCGGCCACCAGAGCCTGGTGATAAAGAGTTGAATTCCCTGGGAAGTAGCTGCAAAGATTGGGACACCACATGTATATACAAGCTCCTTCCACTTGGAGTGGGCCACAGGGAGAATATGGAGATGGAACTGCTGGCCTCATGGGTCACCATAGAGGACTGCAGTCAGCCCCTCAATGTATGTTAAATTAGAAGTGTGAGCCTTAGGCAGCAACTTTTGATGTATGCAAAGAAAGCCTCTGTCAGAGAAAGACTGAGAGATGGGCATTTCTGTTCACCCACTTTGGGCTGAACCCTAGAAGAATAGCCATAGTGAGTCCTCCTGAGCCTATGAAGTCACTAGATGATAGGGATTTTCTCAACTGTATTATAATCTCATGGGATGACTGTCATATATGTGATCCATCATTGACTGAAATGTCATTATGTAGAGCATGATTGTATTGATTTTATATTGGCAGACAGTCAGCTTGGCTAGGTTCATGCAATAAGATCTGTTTATGTCTTCTGTGGACAGTTATTCAAATGTCAGTTAGGTTCTCTATGTCTTTGCTATTTCGGTTGGGTCAGTCTTATGAGTGCCTTATTGAGGGATTGGGATGAGCCTTGCATGAATTCATATACAGGAATAGGCAGTCTCTTTCTGGTGCTTTCTCTCCTTCCCACCCTCTTCCCCCAAACTATCAGTTCAGCAGGGGCTGTTTTCCTAATTCTTCTGGCTAAAAAGATGATTTTTCCATCAGGATTTTTAAAGCCCACATGGCACGTTGTTCTGCAACTGGAACCTTCCCTCAGGGAAGTTGGGAGAGGAAAAAAAAATAACATAATGGTTGATCTCTGAGTTTACACGCTCCTTCTGTTTCTTTGTAGAATTTTCAGCCAGGTAGTTAGTTGTTAGTTTTTGTGTTTTCTCCAAAATTTTTAGTTTTAATCAGAGGGAGTAATGGGCTGTAGGGTCCTAGGCCACCCTACTAGAATGAACCTTCTTCCTCTTCTTTTGATTATTATTATTTTTAAAAGAAGTGATAGACATTATTTCTATAATTAGACCATTTTAATTAGGGATACATCAGTCAAAATTTAGATGTTCAGACTGTGAATCTACTTATTTTTCTAAAATGGCCTATTATTTTCTTTCTCTGTTTTAACCTGGATTGGAAATTGTTGAGTAAGTCAGAGCTATTTGAAGGCCCCTAAATGCATATTTTTTTTGTGGTTTCTTAATCTTTTAATGTCAAGTGTACCAGAAAATCTGCCCTATGATGATGCTTTTTCTAATTCTTTATTAATTCAGATTTTTCTCTCTGATGATTTAATGAATCCTAAATAGAAAAGTCTATTACTGTTTTGAGCAAGGATTACTTTTTTTTGCATTGTCTGCTATTTACTTTGCCTTTTCACTCTAGTAAGCGGCCAGTTCACAAGCAGGGCCTGTCTGTTCCTTCACACTTGATTGTGTTTATTGCCACTTACTGTGGGCTGCTCTCTTTCATTAAATTCTTAGTAATGGACTGACAGCTTACCTCACAACTGAAACCTGCCTTCAATGCTTCATTGGTTTGTCAGATACTTCTTATACTCTGCCGTACAACTTCTCAGTCTAACTTTTTGCTATGGCTTTCCTGCAGCAACTGTCTGCACGTAAATACAACCTGTCAATCCCCGTATTTCCCCAAGCCCTCCAGATTAGGAACAGCAGCTCCTTTTGCCTTCCTGGAAGGGAGCTGCCTTCCTTTGCCCGAAGACCTAAAACTGCCCCAGCTGTGGTGGCTGCCTCACAAAGGATACTTATTCTCTCAATAGCCCACCTCACCCCCAACCTCCTTCATTGACTCAAGATCATTCATTGGGATCAGATAATAGCACAGCCCAGGAGGAAATAATATACTCACCCAAAGGTCTGTAAGGTCTGGCTAATGTGTACCAGCTGGAACTGGGGGAACACATGTGGGAGAGGATCTTGAGGGAATTGGACCAGAAAGGGGAGGATATAAGGCTGGGTAGGAAGGAATGTGTTGGCATCACTCTCCTGTGACTCATGGTTTCATTTTCTGGCAAGAACACTTGGAGTTGGCCCTAATGTGCTGCTAGGATGACTCCTTCAAGCTTGGACACATTGACGCGTAGTTAATTAGTTAGAGATGCTAGAACTGCTTGGCGGAGTCTTAAGAAAGGGATCTGAAAGCTTGCGGGGAGGGAAGCCATTAGTCTGGGTTTACAATGTGAGAAGAGAGTACCCACTCACTGACGAGGCTTCTCAGAGGGGCCAGGAGGAAACGTCCTTCATTGAGGCATCAATAAATTAAGACACTGGTGAGTACTTGCATTTTTGTAAAGCTCATTGGGTGTTGTCACCCCCTAAAATTAATGCTGGTTCGACAGTAAGAGATGTTGCCATTTAACTAGGCTCTTCAGTGGTAGTTGGATAGATAGGATTCTAAAATAGCAGAGGGTCAAATGGAAGAATTTACCTGATGGCAGCAAGGTGATGATATCGGCAGTGAAGTCAGCGGGAAGCAGGATGTCTTGGCCTTCGGGAACCTGTGTCAGTGACTCATAGAGCACTGTTCCTAGGGATGAAATACAGGGGCAGCGGACTTGGTTTGTGCTTGACCTGTGTGACCCAACAATAATAATAATAATCAAGAGCTGGCAAACAGAAGGCTGATGTCAGCCACTGCAATGGAATATATTTACTCCTCACAGATTCCAGATATAATCAAGTTCTCCTTGTCACAGTCCATTAATTGAAGCAAAGGCAGGTCCCTTGGGACTGGCAGTTAAACCCCAATTGCTCATGGCTTTTACCAGTTGAATACCATCTTTGGGTTGGTGCCCCTCTTTTCTGCTTTCAAGCCTTCCCACTTTCAATTCCTAGGCATAGTTCCCAGAATGAACTATTTATATGAAGATCTTTGTCTTAGGCTGTGCTTTTGTGAAGAAACTGAGTGAGGAAAATTAGTAACATTGGAGCTTTGAACTTTTCACTGATAATGAAGACTTTACAAAGTTAAATTACTGTCCAGGGATAAATCACTTTATCATGGTCATTCTTGTTTCTTATTGCGGTATTTTCAATTTTATGTCTTTTAAAACCCTGGTCTTCAGTGATTTTTCCTCAATATGAGTTACATGCTTAAATACATTTGGAAATGCATGTATCTCTATTAGAAACTCATGAAACACATGGTCACTTTAAAGGCTATTATAAGGAATCCTATTTAATTTCACTTATAATAACTTCTCATTTCCCACATTCCTTTAAGAAAGAAGTCCTGTTTTCACCTATTAAAAGCTCATGATTATAATGCTCCCCAGAATAACACTTTGGGAAATTCTGTTTGGTTAGGGAAAGTCACAGGCATTTGAGTTCTTTAATTTTAGAGGCCCTTGAGAAATAAAGTCTGTTATTAGTGACTTGGGGATCAATTTAGTTAATTCATCCAAATGTCCAGTGGATGATATTTAATATTTAAAAAAGGAATCATGTTTTTCATTTCACAATCTATTTAAGTAAAGATCAAGAATATTCCTTCAAGAATGGTTTTATAGTTTTGGGAAGAGATGCTTTCACACCGAATTTCTGGGGGGAATTCCATCAATGAAATCACATAATAATATTTTTTAACTGGTTGGGTTATTTTTATATAATTATAATAAAATATGTTATATACTTAAAACAATGCCAGGATCTTAGCAAGTACTTTATCAGTGTTGACTATTATTATTAACAAGTCATGAATATTATTGCGATTGAGGGGTCATTTATAACTTCTCAGAAGATTGAGAGCAGAGGGTTTTCAGCTCTGGCTATATATTTCGATTATCATTAAAGATGTGACAACCCCAGAGATCTTGTTGTGGAGTTTTGTTATCTGCATTGTTAAAAGCTTCACTGGTGAAGGCATAAATCTATGGCAAACATGGGATTAGTTTATAAAAAAGGCCAGTCATGTTTAAAAGGTAAAAGGCTTCTAGAGTGAGGCATCAATTCCAAGAGATGTTCATTGTATAACAAAAGGTTAAGTTGTGGGGTCAGGATGAGTTAATAGAGGGCTTTTGATAATGTTTGATAAATTCAGGAAATGGTTTTGAGATGAATTAAGTTCAAGTGTGAAAATGCTACTAATGTTTTGCTCAGTACTTAATCTTTTCTTGGACTTTCTTTTATACAATAATCATACTATTTACTAGTAACTCAAACATTACCTCCATACTTAGAAAATAATTACATTACTTTTCTTTTGGTATTTATTTTTTGTTTAATATATTTCTGGAAGACATGATTCTCCAAGGTTGAAGAATAAGGTGTATTGTAGTTTCTGTTGGGAGGGGTGTGTGCACATGTAGGGGTGAGGGAACATGGGAAATAAAATGACAGATATCTCTGGATTTCTCTTTCTCCTCTTGCTGAATTTAATCTCTAACAATTTACATGCAAGAATCATAACCAATTAAAAATATAATGGGAAAAACTAAGCCATTCACAATAACAACATCAACAACAGCCACCACAATATTTAAGACTAAACTTAACAAAATGGCCAGGATTTATGTAAAAATGATTGTAAAACTTTGCTAAGGAAGCAAAAAAAAAAACATTCTTTGATGAAAAGCTTCAATATTTCAAATACTTAAATCATTCCTAAATTAGTCTACACATTTAAGTAATCTTATTCAAGACCTGAGTTCTTTAAGAAAAATTAATATGATTATAAATGTCATCAGAAAGAATAATAATGACCATTCCCCATGGGTCAAGGGCCCCCACTGCTGATCCCAGGGGCTGCAGTGGCTGTTTCTCAGGAAAACTTTCAAAAGCCCAGGGAAGTTGCCGCTGATGATCTCAGCTGTGGCCTGCCGCCGCTGCTATTATAGATAATCCTTCCTGTTTCTGTTCTTCCCAAGCCTCCTGCAAGTACATCTCATGGGAGAATCTAAGCCAGAAGCTATGGGGAAAGGGATTCTGATAACTGTAGTCTCAAGCTGTTCTTCTGCAATGCAGAAGAGGTGGAGCAGGGATGATATCAAGTGGAAAGCAGCTAAGCTGGCACACTGATCTACCTCTGAAAATCCTGTTGTGAGGGTGTGGCAGGTTGCATTTTTCTCAACATGGCCACAATATCTTCTAGCATACATACTCTTCTTACAAAGTGATTTAAATACTCTCCCTATTAAGAAACAGCATTTCTGTTTCGTCTTTGAATCTAAGGACGCTTGCGACTACGGTGGAAGTTACTGTGTAACTTCTGAAGCTGGGTCATAAACTGTGATACAGCTTCTACCGGGCTCCTTCAGGGTCCTCATGCTTAGACTCCAGCCACCATGTTGTGGGGCATCTTAAGCCTCCCCACAGGAGGCATGCTCTACTGGGGATTGTCAGTAATGGAGAATTACACATAAGATCAGGTATTTACCTTTCCTTCTGAAGTCAAATGCTACCTGATTCCCCTCTGTCCTCAGCAAATATGGCTTCCTCGAGATCCTGGAATAATGTAGAGAATATAGAGACCTAAGCGGTCTGAAAAATCTTAGAAAATTATTCACCTTGGGATATCACTGCATCGTGGATGCAGGCAGCATTGTATTTAAGCCCTCTCAAAGCAAGACAGTTTTACAAGGTTTCATAAGTCATGCTGACTTCCCACATTGTGAAATCTCTCACAGTCTCTCCTCCAATCAACAACCCCTGGCAATTATATCATAAAAAACCTTCCTTTCCTTGTGGGCATACAGAAAAAACTAACCTAGGGAGTAAGCCTGAAATTGAGACCTCTGTCTCCAGTTTCCCAGTTCATATGTTTGTCCTAGGAGGACTCATAGAATAACCTTATCTTTATATAAGCTTTTGGTGTCTTGTGACATTTCACCCTTGCTCATTAGCCCTGGAGAATTTCCTAGGTGGTTCTGAGAAATTCCAACATCTTACAGCCAGAAGTTGATTGAGAGGAGGTTTTCCTAGTATTATCAACAGAGTGTCCTATCTACAAGTAAGGAAATATAAGATGGTGGAGGCCTGTATAAACAAGGTCTAGGGAGAGAAGAGAGAAGAGGTATAGAAATGTGTGCACAAAATGTGCCTAAAACTCAAACTTTTGTTGAGTGAAAGGATGAATGAATAAAATGAAATACCCACTCCATTCACATATCTACTCTAGATGTACAATGTAGAGCACACCTGTCATTTTATAATCTACCCTTAGAGCATTTATAGATTTTTTTTGCTCATGTTTTAAGCTAGTGTTCCTAATGTTTGGTGAAATTAAAGCTTAAATTTTGAGACATTGACTTTCATGTGCATATGAAATTAGTATTCATAAATGAGCAATACGTATATATTGTGGCTAAAGAAACAACAAAACAATATTTTAAAGAGCTAGTGCTTATCCTTCTGACTTGCACCCTTTATACCCCATTCTGTTCAGTAAAAGACATACTATACCATTACTCATTCAGAGTTTTACTAAGAGTTCAATTACTGGTCCTTCAATTCAGAATACAATACTCATCCCCTGAGCCTCTCAGCCCTTCAGCACCTGTCTGTCTCTGATAATCTTAGATTTACCTTGATATAACAAATTAGTTTTGCAATTCCACTTCAGGAGTTCAGAGCTATTCCTAGTCAGCTCTCATTACTCATACCACCAAAAGTCTAAAGTGGTAGATTGAAAGGTACATATCATATTGAAAGCTAAAGTGGTCATTTGAAAGATAAATGCCAGAAATCATGCTTTCTGCTGTTACCGCATATGCTCTTTAAACAGAAATAATAAGCTAACTTATATTTAGAAATTTCATCATAAGAATTCAGATCTACAAAGTTTATCACATTTTTCTATTTATACAATATTTCTTGACATTTTTATTTTCAAAATGGTCAAATCTGAAAAGTTAACATTTTGCTATATTTGCTTTATTTATTTTTTTCTTGCTGCCTCTTATTGTCTTCCTAGGACTTATCCCTGATTATGTCAGCATATATTTTCTAAGTATAAGGACATTCTTGTACATAATTATATTATAGCATTCCATCATACCTAAGGAAATTAATAATACTTCCATAATGTCATTTAATATTCAGTGTAGTCCAGATTTTCCCAACTGTCCCCCAAATAAAATCTCCTCTCTCAAATACTTTTCTTAAGAAGAAAAATTGGGGGAAGAAAACCTACATAATTTTAGTGTTACCTTCTTATGTTGCCTCAAAGGTATTTCTATCCTTAATCTCTCTTACATGGTAGTATTTTCAACTCTTGTTTCTATATAGTTATGACTAGGTGACCCTTAGGTAGCTATGATGTGGGCTTGTCACC